AACTATATTACCCAGGGTACTTGGATAAGTATATTTCATTTTGATCAAAGGGAGTCCCCAAGGGGCACAAATCCCCACCACTGAAAACTTTTTTCCCTTTGATTTAAATTTGAACAAGGGAATGACTCCTAGGATACTTGGATAAGTATCTTTAATTTTGATCAAAGGGGGTTCCCAGGGGACACCCCCCAACACACTGAAAACTGTTTTCCCTTTGATTTAAATTATATTTAAATTTTAACAAGAGATTGACTCCTATCCAATACATACAAGGAGAAAGCCAGAAGATGGAGGTCACTTTGGCAAGATCAAAATGAGACAATATGGACGTCAACTTGAGCAAGAAATTATCAATCAGTCGGTAGTGCCTGACAATACATATTTGTTGCAGCAATTCAACTGTCATATGAATGTTGAAATCAGTTCATTTCATTCAATCAAGTATTGCATCAAATATATATTAAAGAGGTCAGATCAAGCTGTTTTTGCACAAACCCCCAACTGAAATTTTTTTCCCTTTGTTTAAATTAAATTTAAATTTGAACAAGGGAATGACACCTATTCAAAATATAGAAGTGGAAATCCAGAAGATGGAGGTCATTCGGCAAGATCATGGAATAATATTGAAATACATCATTTATCTCCACAAACTATAACAATGATTTAAAATCAATCATTTTCTTCCAAAAAAAAAAATGTGTGACATGCAGCAAGGCATGGGTAATACATCTAGTCTGTATATGAGGCTGCATCAATGAAACTATTTTTAATGTGAAGAAGTTCTCTCAAAGGACGAAATGCATAACATTGAAGTCTTTACACTTACTCATTTTCAATCTAACTAGAATTTTTAAAATTTTCAATCTTCTCTTTCACTTTCACTCCCTGTAACCTCTCCCCTGTGCACTAGTGACATTCCTGCCTTGCTTGGGGTGAAATGGTTAAAAAAAAAAAACAATATATTTTCTAATAAATGAAATGTTTTAAATGGACAACCAATTTAGATCTGAAAATTGATCATCTTACCATCAACGAAGCAAACAGGTACCGAACTATGAACTATTATCGATATAAAAAGACTTATATCCAGACTTACTAATTCAAATGCATTAAGCTGAATTAAGTAAATAAATATACCAACACTTACCAAGTGTTATTTTAAGGGAATTTTTCCCCCTTAGCAAAGAGTCTCAGTTGTGACATATGAATAAATGTCAACAGTTGACCCCGTCAGGTCATTTCATTCTTTCCACATCTGAAACAAGAGATGAATCTGACATTTGCTAACAACGTGTACCATTCAGCCAACTCCAGCAAACCAGGAAGTGAGTGGATTAAATAGATAATTTACGAACCAGATAAGTTATCATTATTTTTGTTATGGGGCAAATAAGGTCATGTTTATATAATGCTACAGACATGCAGGGTGGGAGAGATGGTGAGGAGAGAGGGGAGCATATAATATAAACAAAATTTTAAGAAACAGGAAAATTTTGTTAGGATCAAAGAAAAGTTCTTTTTTTTAATCATTTCACTCCTAGCAAAGAAATAAAGCCACTGAGATGCAAGGGGTTATTAAGTGTGAGAAAACGTTACTGACAATAAAGAGAACAGGTTTCAAGGAGACAGATGATGATGATTGCTATTGCATTTAAATTTTTGTAGAGCGTAGTTGGCAGAGAAGCAAGAATTCAGAAGAACATTTCACAGGCGAGAAGTGTGAGAGAAGCAACTTTTAGAATAGAACTTACAGTTATATCCAGCAATTTCAGCAGCATTTTTTAAATTACTAAAACATTTTTCATGTTGAAATCCTTACACACAGTATTTAGTCTTGTTGAAATTATTGCTATATTTTTTTGTCGAGACTTACAAACTCTACATTTCATTCAATTTCACAAACCAATTGTTTTTAAATTTTCAATAATTTTTTTGGAAAAAATTAATGAAAATTTATTGTTTTAAGCTATGCACCCTAGTAAAACCAACTGTATTTAGTACCCGCCCCCCCTTACCTGTTTGTACTTCTCCCCTAAATTTGGTTTTGATCAGTCAGTGTATGGGTATTTTACAGGATGTGATAGACAGACTAACAGAAGTCACAAAATTTTATATATATTGGGTTGTCCGGAAAGTCCATGCTGATTTTTAATAGAAATTAAAACACAAAATAAAGTTATGCCATTAAATATTTATTCAACTAAATATGAACCATTTTGTTACACAACCATTCTTCATTTTTTCCTTCAACTTAAAGATTCCATCTTCCCAGAATTTCATTTGTTTCTCAGCAAAGAATTCATTAAGGTGTTTTTTTTTATGTCATCCAAAGAATTAAAATTTTTACCATTGAGATTATTTTGCAAGGAGCTGAATAAATGAAAATCTAAAGTAGCAATGTCTGGTGAATATGGCAGGTGGAGTAACACATCCCAGCCAAGCAGCAACAATTTTTGCTGGTTTACCAAAGAAACATGAGGTCTGGCATTATCCGAATAGAAAACAACTCCTTTCATGTTTACCAATTCTGGGCATTTTTCTTGAATTGCTGACTTTAATTCAACCAGTTGTGAGTAGTATTTTTCAGAATCAATTGACTGGTTACTTGGCAGAAGCTAATAGTACAGGATTCCTTTCCAATCCCACCAGATGCAAAGCATGACTTTCTCAGGATGAAAACCTGCTTATGAGGTGACTAAAGCTGACTCATGTCACTTACCCCAGGATCTTTTTCACTGAACATTGTTATAAACAATCCATTTCTCATCACCCATCACAATTTGTTTAAAAAAGAATGCATTTTTATTGCATTTATACAGTAAATCACAGCTGAAATGCAATCCAAAAGATTCTTTTCACTCAGATCATGTGGTACCCAAACATCGTAGTGATTTGAGTACCCAAGCTTCACATAGTGTTCATGGATGGTGGATTTTGATAAATTTAGTGTTTCTGCTAATCCCCACATTGTGTAATGCCGGTTATTCTTAATCAACGTCTTGATTTGATCATCATCTGGTGGGGGGTGGGGGGTCTGAGCATTTTTCATCAATAAGGCTGCGATCACCAACTCTAAAGTTAGAGAATGACTTCTGTACAGTTCTGTCAGCTAAAGCACCTTCACTGTGTGTATCTTTTTTGTTGCTTGCGAAGCATTTTTGCCTTTACAGTAAAAAAATAAAAAATAAAAAACCATCAAGTGTCTAAAATGCACCTTATAATCTTCCATTTTCATAGAGATGCAAAATTGACATGAATTAAGTAATTTTAAACTTTCTTTCTCAAGAGATAGTTTGGAGTGGCTTCTAATCCGAAATGTAAGCATATTATTTTCTGTTGATAAATTTGACGTGTTCTAACACATTGGAAAATGAACAACTGAAAATTGGCATGAACTTTCTGGACAACCCAATAGATAGATTTCATCCCAAGGAAGGTGATAAAGCCACTAAACATGATGAATTATTATGAGTGAAAGAAACTGAGAAAACATTATTGAGGAGAAAGAACTAGAGACAGTAGATGACGATTGATGTTGCATTTAAATTTTTGTAGATTGTAGTTGATGGAAAATTTGGAGTTCCATATGCCAGAAGTGTGAGAAAAAAAACTATTAGAATAGAACTTACAGTTACATCTTGTAATCTCAACAGAAAAATGATGAGATCTAACTACCAATCTAGTACAGCACTTAAATTAGTGAAACCGAGATACCAAAGAGGAAAGCTCAATAGAACAATTGCCATGAAAATATTTATAGAAAGTTCACAGGGAAGCTACATTATGGTGGTAGGAAGGTAATTGAAGCAAGATGCCAAGTCAGGATGTATAAAATTGCAGATTCTTTTAATTTTGTTAATAAACTTTAGGTATATAGTAGAAGCTCCAGATTAGAGATGGACGTATATTCAATGCATGGACGAATGGTAGATTTAAAAAGGAGCAAAATAGAGACTAGTGATAAGAATTGTCTAGAACAACACATTAAATCAACTTTTTCTTGCTGAAGGCCTTGCAGTTATGTCTGTATAATTGTTCCAACTCATGTCAGTGGAAAGCATTAGACTGAGAAGGAGCAATTAGTCACTCTCCTGGAGGTTAGCATCAACCATGCTGATGGAAGGCAAAAAAAGTTCTCTAACACAAATAAAAGAGAGCAGTTTTTGTTTTAAGATTAACAAGCCATTTCTTGCCCCAGTTAAAAACAGCTTAAGAGTCATTTTCAAGATCAGCTGCCAATTTGACTTTATCGAACCTCTCAGATGTAAACTAAGACAAAAGTAGATAGTTGTGTCATCCGCATAGATACCGCGTATGCTGAAATTCTATGTAATATCAATTCACCTATATGGCAGTGAATGCTGAACAACTTCCCCTCAGATGAAGAAGAGCCTGGCAGCAGAGAAGTGATTCACTGAGGAATGCTTTCATATATTTGTGTTATGGGATGTAACATAGAGAAATCTGAAGGCACATTGAAATAGTGAAAGATGTCTACCAAAACCTAAGTAAAGTATTAAGACACATGAAAATTTTTCAGAGAAGCAAAGAAAGAAGGCTTAACTGCTACAAAATAATAATCCTTCTATATTGCAGTGAATGCTGGACAATTTCCCTCCGGATAAAGAAGAGACGTGAGATAGCAGAAATGGGATTCAATAGAATACAATGGACTGAACATGTAAGCAACAGGGAAGTTTTAAGGAAAACAGAAACAAAAAGGTAGATACAGGTTTGATTTGCATGCAAGGCAAAAAGGTAGAAATTGGTTTGATTTGTATGCAAGGTAAAAAGGTAGACATTGGTTTGATTTCCATGTGAGGTAAAAAGGTAGACATTGGTTTGATTTCCATGTGAGGTAAAAAGGTAGACATTGGTTTTGTTTGTATTACAGTCAAAAAGATAGACAAAGATCCAGTTTACATGAGAATTTAAAAAAAAGGGAGATTTAAGTGTTAGATGGCCTCTTTTTGGCAAGGTTTACCACTCTGCGCTGGAATTTAATTGGCACATTCCTGACCCCAACCAACAGGGTGAAAATATAGATGAATAGCTAGATATGAACCTATAAACAGTGAGACAGACAGACAGACAGACAGAAAGAGAAAGACAGACAGACAGACAGAAAGAGAGAGACAGACAGACAGAAAGAGAAAGACAGACAGAAAGAGAGACAGACAGAATGTTAGAGAGACAGACAGAATGTGAGAGAGACAGACAGACAGAAAGAGAGACAGACAGAGAGAGAGAGAGAGAGAGAAACAGACAGGCAGAAAGAGAGAGAGAGAGACAGACAGACAGACAGAAAGAGAGACAGACAGACAGACAGAAAGAGAGAGAGACAGACAGACAAAAAGAGAGACAGACAGAATGTGAGAAAGACAGAGACAGAAAAAGAGAGAGACAGACAGACAAAAAGAGAGACAGACAGAAAGAAAGAGAGAGAGAGAGACACAGACAGAAAGAGAGAGAGACACAGACAGAAAGAGAGAGAGACACAGACAGAAAGAGAGAGAGAGACACAGACAGACAGAAAGAGAGAGAGAGACAGACAGAAAGAGAGACAGACAGACAGACAGAAAGAGAGAGAGACAGACAAAAAGAGAGACAGACAGAATGTGAGAGAGACAGACAGACAGAAAGAGAGACAGACAGACAGACAGAGAGAGAGAGCGAGACAGACAGGCAGAAAGAGAGAGAGAGACAGACAAACAGTAAGAGAGACAGACAGACAGACAGACAGACAGAGAGAGCGAGACAGACAGGCAGAAAGAGAGAGAGAGACAGACAAACAGAAAGAGAGACAGACAGACATACAGAAAGAGAGAGAGAGACAGACAGACAGACAGACAGAAGAAAGAGAGACAGACAGACAGACAGAAAGAGAAAGAGAGACAGAGATTACCAGAAAGACTAATATAAAGTGGTATAACAGTAAATAATTATATTCATTCAACTTTGTTCAGCCTGTTACGGATCATAAAAAAGGGACATTTAATGAGGATTGAACCCACAACTCCAGCAAATGGTACATGAAATGAACTTGTTAACAAGTACTATAGACCAATCCAAAGAGAAATAAATATTTTTTATGAACAAATCGAGACGACAGAGATACAAAAGCTCGATGTGAAGATGAATGTTTAATCATTTCATCCAATGAATGTTGACTGTAGAACAAAGAAACACTAACAAAAAATTCATTTTTATGCTACAGATTGGCAACAAGCCAAGACGATACTAAAGGACCAAATGAAAACAAAAACAAAAGATAACATCATCAAAGAAATAATTTCGCCCCAGTGCCAAAGTTTTTCCAATAAGTTTCTAAATAAAGACTATCCTTGTCTTTTGTTTTTTTGCTTCTTTTTTTCTCATTTTTCAGACACTTTATCCTCTGACCATTTTCAAGCAGAACCATTATTTAGTGATGAATATGTTGCATCTAAATGTGCAATCCATCAATTAGACCGTCAACATACGACGAAAAGAATTTAACCGAAGAAAGTGAAGAAATGAAACAGTTGAAAAAAGTAAAAAAAAAAAAACAACCATCATCATCATTATCATCATCACAACCATCACCACCACAACCATCATCATCATCACCACTACTGCCACAATTGCTATCATCACCACCACTGCCATCATCATCATTACCACCACTGCCATCATCACCACGAAATATAATTTATATTATTCGGACTAGTGTCCTCATCTTTGTTGCCATATATATTACAACGTTTCGGCCTTTTAGTATCTGTCTATATTTCTGAGATGAGGTATTATGTACACTATTTACATTATTCGGACTATTGTCCTCATCTTTCTTGCCATATTTATTACAATGTTTCGGCCTTTCAGTATCTGTCTATATTTCTGAGATGAGGTATTATGTACACTATTTACATTATTCGGACTATTGTCCTCATCTTTGTTGCCATATTTATTACATTATTTCAGCCATTGTAGGCTCCAGCTCCAACCACCTGAAGAAGGCCGGAGTGTACAACGGTCGAAACATTGTAATAAATATGGTGACAAAGATGAGGACTTCTGAAGCCTTGATCCTGATCCCTGTCCTTTTTTATATTCTTTCCTCAAATGCCCCTCTTTATTCTTGCTCTCACTCTCTGTAACCCCTTGCGTGTTAGTGGCACCCTTGCCTTGCTTGGGGTGAAATGCTTAAGAAAAAAAAAATATAGCAACGACTCTAAGTAGAATCTTTATTTGACTCATTCTGCTTTAGTGCTGAAAAACATTTATTGTGATGGATGGTTACAAGTGAGAGGGGAGATGGGATGTGCTTATTTTATTACTACAATATGTTTTGGTTTTATTAAAATTTTAATCATCCCTTTTTAAAACAATAAAAATTGCTGAGGGAATCAAGAGTGTATACAGTAATAGTGGTGTTAAGAGAATAACTGTTCTTTTAATATATTTTTTTAATTTTTATGGACATGAAGGTTAAACATTACCCACAATTTATTGTCAGAATCAGTAGAATTCTTAATGATCTGCTTCCCTTTGAAGGAGTATTTCTATTTTAATCAGGTGTCATTGAATAATAGTGAGTTCACAATATGTTTTTTTTTCTCTCTTTGTAAGTTCCATGAATGTGGCTCATTAAATTTGTTTGTAGAAAACGTAATTTTGGTGGGTCAGTCCCAGATAAATTTTTGAATTAGCAAATAATATGAAAGAACAGAAAAAAATTAAAAAATAAGCAGGAAACAATCCTTTGAGGCTATAACAGGAAACATTTTTCATAAGTAGCAGTTTTGCAGCCAATCCTAATCAGCTAAAATGATTGGCTGAAAAAATTCTAGGTTGGAGATAGGGAAGCCTTTAAATGCAACACAGGATTTAATCAAGTAAACTTGTAATAAAGGAAAGAAAAAGAAAAGAACAATCGAAATCTCTCGCCATGATCCTTATCATTTTATAATATTATTATATTATTATTTTTTTAATCATTTCACCCCAAACAAGCCAATAAAGCCACTAAGATGCAAGAGTGTTAGAGAGTATAAGAAAAAAAACACTATTAAGGAGAGAAAACAATAAAAGGAATTCAAGAACATGAAAAAGGCAATAAAGCTACTAAGATGCAAAGACTTACTGAATGTGAAGGAGTATGATAAAAAAACAGATTATTAAGGAAAGAGAACAATAACAGAAAAGGAGTTAAGAAGACAAAAAATAATTATCAATATTGCATTTAAATTTTTTAAGATGAGTTGACTTGAAAGTAAGAAGCTGGAAGTGACTTCCACAAATATTATTATTATATTATATACTAGCAGTAGAGCCCGGCGTTGCCCGGGGATGTAACAGTAAGAGATAGATCAAGTATTGACCATCATAAATACTGAAAAATAAAATTGACAAAGATTATTGTTTAAGGTTGATGGACACGCATGTCTTAATTAGTTTTTTTTTGTTTTTTTTTTTTTTTTTTTTTAGGAATTGGTCAAACCAAACAAAACATTGTTTTCAATCATTATGAGTCTACCGATTGAATAGAATTTTATTATAAACAATTGCCTTGTAAATGGAATTTTTAAAGCATTCTGAATGTAAAAATAAAGAAAAAAGTGTGCAAGACAATAAGAAACACTACCTAACAAAAAAAAAGTGAAGTTTTGTTGAAATCGGTTGAAAACTGTAGGAAATCTGATCCCATATATAAACGAACACACACACACAAACAACCTGGGTTTTATAATAAGTATAACTCGATATGAGTTGTCCCCGTTTCATTCTCGACAGTGATGCCTCTTAATCGTGTTTTCAAATTGATTTCGGGCAAAAACAATTGTTTTTTCAATTTTTCGCACTGTCAGAACCACTACAAGGTAATTTTACGCAGTCCTGTGAAGTTTTGTTGAAATCGGTTGAAAAATGTAGGAAATCCGATCCAATATATAAACGTACAGACACACACACACAATCTGGGTTTTATAATAAGTAAGATTATATAAAAAAAAACTACCAGCAATACCTTTTTATAGTAAAATTACCAGTAATACATTTTTATAGTAAAATTATTGGCAATACATTCTTATATTAAAATTACTAGTAATACCTTTATTATATTACCAGTTGTACATTTTTATAACAAAGTGACCATCAGTACATTTTATAGTAAAATTGAAGACATGGCATACAAACAAAAAAAACAATTTGCTGTGATTAATCTCATTTTTTATAAGGAGAAACAAGTTTTTAATCCCCGTTTGATTTTATAAGATTATTTGGTAAAAAAAAATGCAGCTAAATAATTATAATTTAATCATGACATAATCTCATTTTTTTTAATTAATTATAAAGTTTGAATTTTCATATTTAGGCTTCAGCATTAAATGACCCATACAGATGTTGATATGCTACTCAAACAAAAACAACCAAACCTCATCATGTACAAAATGGATTTAATGGAAATTTATTGTAAATCAGAGATATCAAATTAGTATTGAATACATGAGTTTGATTTGGTAAAGAATAAAAATATATCAATGTCCACTTTTATATTTACATATGCTCTATCTCTGATATTGAGCACTTTTATGTATAAATATAGCATACCTTAAAACTATATTTTTATCATACATGACGGACACTCCCATTGATTGCGACACATGAGGATCCAACATCCTTGCTGAGGTTTTATGTTTGCATCGTATGTGAAACTTCAATCCTGCTAGTGACCTGAATACAAGATATTGTGCAATAGCAAGGATCTTGGGACATAGCAACAGGAATATCTACTGACACTTTTTACTGTTGTCTTTCATCTCTTAGCTGGTCAATACAATGGATTTTTAATTTTCTGATACAACTTTGGCACAAATATCTCCAGTTATTTGTATCCAGGGAAATTTGCTCGAAGTTAGTATGAGGCACATTTGTCAACTGTCAAGCTGTCTATACATGAGGAACTTAGCTATTCTGTTGACACTCATCCTTGCAATATGACCAGCCCATATATATATATATATATATATATATATATATATATATATATATATATATATATATATATATATCAGGTGTAACAACAAAACTGTCCAAATCATGTAAAATGTAAAAGCATAATTGTCCATTTGTTACAAAAGGTTTGAATAGTTGAATCTTAGAAATGATTAAAGATATCTTACTGGAATTATCAGAGGGTTTTATAACATTATTGGACTCTACCTTAAGCAATAAGAATGTATAATTACTCTCTAAGCTTAACAGAAGAATTGTGATGAAATCGATCAAAAACGAAAATGACATGTTCATCATTAATTAATCATAGCTAAGGATTGGAAGCTCATGAAGGATTGAACTTAAGTTCAAATATATATATATATATATATATATATATATATATATTATTTCAGGATCATTTTCTAATTTATTCAGAATGATCTTCACCCTTTCTATCCTTATAACTTTCTGTCCTGTAACAATTTGCCTCACAGGTTTCACGTACAATTTCATTTTCAAGTCTTTTTTCACTGCTCTTTGAACTGTCATAGCTGAAACTCCTCTCTCATGTACCAAATGTCTTATGGATTAAGTTGGATCTTTTCTAATTGATCTCTTTAGTTGAAATGATGATCCCTCTTCCTGTTGTGACCTCCTGATTCACATTTCCTCTCTACTGTTCCCTCTTTTTAAACTTATTCACCATTTTCTTGATGCTTCTTGAATGGATTTGAAGACAGAAGCCAAAATATGAATGTTGGTACAATTACTGAAAGCATGAATGATATTTTTCCTCTCATCATTGCTCAGTTGGGAAGACATAGTGAGGCTGACAGAAAACAATTTCAACCTGTTCTTTAGCTGAATAACTCAAAGGATTTTTCAGTGATTCTTATGACAAATGGTGTCAAGATGGCTCAACGTCTTATCTGAAA